AAGGCTCAAACTCTTTTTTGTTTTTGGGTCCGGTCATGGGGCCTGAACTCTGGGCCTGGGCGCTGTCCCTCAGCTCTTCAGCTCAAGGCTAGCGCTCTACCACCTGAGCCACAGTACCACTTCCGGTTTTTTTCTTTTTTGCTTATGTGGTGCTGAGGAATCGAACCTAGGGCCTTGAGCATGCAAGGCAAGCGCTCTACCACTGAGCCACCTTCCCAGCCCAAGGCTCTTGAACCACTCCATGCTTTCAGTTTGGTAAACTTAATAATGTAATTTAAGGGGCTGGGAAGGTGGCTCAGTGGTAGAGTGCTTGCCTTGCATGCATGAGGCCCTGGGTTTGATTCCTTAGCACCACAGAAGCAGGTAAAGCTGGAAGTGGCGCTGTGGTTCAAGTGGTAGAGCACTAGCCTTGAGCTGAAGAGCTGAGGGACAGCGCCCAGGCCCAGAGTTCAAGCCCCATGACTGACCAACAAAATAAATAAGTAAAATAAATACATAAATAATGTAACTTAAGTGACAATTAGCATAAGTTAGCCACATGCTCTCCTCAAAATAGCCAATCCAACTGTCATGGGAAACACACATACACAAAAGTAATACTCTGGGGACTGGGAATGTGGCTTAGTGGTAGATAGAGTGCTTGCCTGGCATGCCTGAAGCCCTGGGTTTGATTCCTCAGTACCACATAAACAGAAAAAATCCAGAAGTGTGGTTCAAGCGGTAGAGCGCTAGCCTTGAACAAAAGCTCAGGGACAGTACCCAGGTCTTAAGTTCAAGCCCCATGACTGGCCCCCCCAAAAAAAAGTAATACTCTGTACTCCAATAGAGGCTTAGTCCCACAGATCATTCCTTCACAAATGCCACCACCTGCTGAGTACAGGTGTCCAGAATACCGTCCTCCTGTGCTGCCTCTCCTTACCGGAATCCATAATTATCATTTCACTATTCTTTTTTTTTTTGTCAGTTGTGGGGCTTGAACTCTGGACCTGGGCTCTTCAGCTCAAGGCTAGCATTCTACCACTTGAGCCACAGTGTCACTTCCAGTTTTCTGGTTGTCAATTGGAGATTAGAGTCTCACAGACTTCCTTGCCTGGGCTAGCTTTGAACTGTGATCCTCAGATCTCAGCCTTCTGAGTAGCTAGGATTACAGCATAAGCCACTAGTCCCTGGTTCACTTTTTTTTTTTTTTTGTCCTGGGGCTTGAACTCTGGGCCACTGTCCCTGAGCTTTTTATGCTTAAGGGTGGTATTTTACTACATGGGACACAGAGTCTCTTATTACTTTTTGTGGTTAACTGGAGATAAAAGTCTCACCTAGGCTGGCTCCTAACTATAAGCCTCAGATATCAGCCTCCTGAGTAGCTACGATTACAGGCATTGATGGGAATCTGCTTTGTTCTAATAACTCCATATTGCTCCCCTCTCGGCCCAATCTTTTTGTGTGCCTTACGCCTCCAGGTCAAGCACAACACCGGGTGCATACTCACATGCTTGCCCGCAGGCAGGTCTTTCTGATCTAGGCTTAGCTGAAAGGCCTCTCACCCCAGGAAGAGCATTCATTCTACTGTGGGCCTTGCCAAGGACACCAACCTTGGCCTCCAAGAGACCATAGCCTATTTTTTATTTTCTGCTTCTTCGTTAAAGCCCCAAATAAACCCAGCCCCAAATAGACTCCCTCATACAACCTCCAAGCCCTCCAAAACCATGGGAAGGTCTATGCCCCTCACTGGTGATAAACAGTCCTAGCCTGTTAAGGATCGTTCCCCATCTATTCCTTTTCTGTTATCCTCCATTTTCCTTTTCTTTTTTTTGGGTCCAGTCGTGGGGCCTGAACTCTGGGCCTGGGTGCTGTTCCTTAGCTCTTCAGCTCAAGGCTAGCGCTCTACCACTTGAGCCACAGCGCCACTTCCGGCTTTTTTCTTTTTGCGTATGTGGTGCTGAGGAATCGAACCCAGGGCCTCTGGCATGCAAGGCAAGCACTCTACCACTGAGCCACCTTCCCAGCCCATCCTCCATTTTCCTAACAAACATGAGCCAACAGTCCCCAGCTGGCTTTAACTTTTTTTGTTGTTGTTGTTGGTCATGGGGCCTGAACTCTGGGCCTGGGTGCTGTCCCTCAGCTCTTTAGCTCAAGGCTAGCGCTCTACCTCTTAAGCCACAGTACCACTTCCAGTTTTCTGGTGGTTTATTGGAGTCTCACGGACTTTCCTGCCCAGGCTGGCTTTAACTGTGATCCTCAGATCTCTGCTTCCTGAGATTGCATGCGTGAACCACTGGTGCCCAGCTAGCCTTTTTTTTTTTTTTGCCGGTTGTGGGGCCTGAACTCTGGGCCTGGGCGCTGTCCCTCAGCTCTTCAGCTCAAGGCTAGCTCTACCACTTATGCCACAGCACTACTAACAGCTTTTTATTTATGTGGTACTGAGGAATCGAACCCAGGGCCTCATGCATGCAAGGCAAGCACTCTACCACTGAGCTACCTTCCCAGCCCGTCCTTAACATTTTTTTTTCTTCTTCCATAGAAAGAAAACTTAAAAAAATTTTTTTTATTGTGAAAATACCATACAGAGGGGCCGTACTTAACATTTTAAAATAGTCTTTAGGATGGGCACTGTTGGTATTATGTTTATCTTTGGTTCTGGGCTCCACCCAGACCTGCGCCCTTCCCATCCCTGGAGTTGCCGCCATACAGCCTAGACCCTCCTGAAATCCCATCTACCTCACTTCCAACCCTCAGACCCCTCCTGCTACCTGGATGGTGAAGGATGCCACGACCTCCCTCTTGAGAGAAATATGGCTCCTCTAATAAACCTTGTAATAATCTTTCTCCTGGGCCTGCCTACCTCTGGCAGGTACCCTAGGATGGATTCGTGGGATTCTTCAGGCACCAGTAGCTTACACCTGTAATCCTAGCATCTCAGGAGGCTGAGATCAAGGATTGTGACTCAAAGCCAATCCAGGAGACTCCTGTCTCCAGTTAACCACCAAAAATCCAGAAGGTAGAGTTGTGCCAGGTTTGAGCCAAAAAACAAAACAAAACAACAACAACAAAAAACCCTCAGGGATAGCACCCAGGCCATGAGTTCAAGTTTTAAATGGGCATAGTGGCATATACCTGTAATCCCAGCACTTAGGAGGAGGCAGGATAATAATAAGTTTGTGACTAGTATGGGATCCTCTAGACTAACATATTTCAAATCACACCACTTCCTTAGATATTGATACTTCAGCAGCATATTGTTCCCAGGAGATTCCAACCTCTCAGCTTAAGGCCCTCTACCATTTGGCCTTGTGATCCTTATCTCTCACTGCAGACCCTCTCAGTCTTTCAAACCAGATACCAGGAATCCTTTTTGTTGTTATTTACTATATAGCTAAGACTGGTCTCCAATTGCTACATAGCCCAGTTTAGCCTTGAACTCAAGATCCTCCTTTCAGTTCTCAAGTTTAAAGATTACTAGGCCTTATAAGAATCTTCTTCCTTCTTCCATTTTTAAAAACTGTGTTCTTTTTTGTACTGGGGATCAAACCCAGGACATTGCACTTGATAGGCAAGTGCTTTGCCACTGAGCTACATCCCAGCCCATTCCTCCATTTTTATTAAAATAGATCTCATAATGTAGCCCAGGCTCTGGGCAGGCCTCCAAGTCTTGATCCTTCTGCCTCTACCTCCCCAGTGCTGGAATTACAGGAATCTCTGATATTTTAAACATTCTTTATTACTCCAATATCTACCATTGTAAGAATAAAACAAATTAACTTGAAAGAACAGAATCTCCAAAAACGGGGACGCGTGGCTAAGTCTTAGGAAACAGAAGTAGTTCAAAACCTTGAATCCCTATCCCTTCTTCTCGATGATGAACGACTCGAAAGTTCTTTATTTGCTTTTATCTTTTAATTCCCTTTCTGCCCCAACTCCTAAAAAAAAATGCCCAGAAAACTCAGTAACTAAACAAATGAGATCTCAAAGAGCCAAGGCAAGCCAGCCCAAGATGAGTAGGCTCCCTCCAACGGGGCCCAAGTTCTGGATGCTAGTGTCCCCACTCAGAGCCTGGTAGTAAAAGCTGGTGCAGAATAAGGTAGTTCCAGAGGCTAGCAGCAACCCGGCCTGAAGGAAAGAAAGGGCAGAACACAGGCTGTAAGAATAGAGCTGTTTGAGGAGTGGTTGAGGGTTTGACCAGGGAAAGGCAGTGGGACAGATTACCCAGAGGGGTTTTCTGCAATGAGGCACTCCTAACAGGGCCAGGCTGTGTAAGAAGTGGTGTTTGTTGGTCTTGTCAAACAGCTGTAAGGAAGAGAAAAAAAAAAAAGCCATGGGAGACTAAGCAACCTAGGGACCAAAATTAGTTTCCATCACCACCATCCTTGAACCCCCAGCTTGCCACTCCCTCAGCCCCTTCCCACACCTACCACAGGTTTCCAGCCCTTTCTACTCCTACACCCATGCTCAGACTCCAACCCCCACGCGCAGGGCCAGCACATTCTGTGTAGATTAGCCAAAGGGTAAGCCCAGCAAAGTTACTTCACCTCCTTTCCGTATGCATCCGGGAAGTGGGCGCCTGTGGAGAGTAGAGGCAAAGGTTAGATCTAGAGCTATCCCGGGTTATACCCAATCCCGAGATCCTGAGGTAGACATTGGCGAAAAAGGGCGACCCCCACGGAGCTTCTGATTGGTGGAAACACGTGTCTGGCAATACTGTAAACCAAGCAGACATTCTGAAGGACTTTAAAAGATTTGGGGTTCCACGGGCTGCCCAGTCAATAGGAAGCGAGCATTTCCAATGGGCTTTGCCCCTGCACCCAACCCCAGAGATTGGCCCTAGTACAACCCGGATACGTCCCAAGCCCCTGACCGTGTGCCCCGTAGGAGGCCAAGCCCAAGGCCCCGGCTCCGGACAAGGCACCTAAGCGACGGAAAGCAGACCCTAGCCCAGCCATAGTGAAGGCGGTCACGCGCGGGAAGAACACCGCCCAGGCCACCCAAGAAGCCAGCCAATCCCGGTAGCCCATGTGAGTAAGGTCCAGAGGTCCCCAATCAGGACCGTGTTCATTTCAGGGCCTAGGTCCTCACCCGGGTACTTCCACCTTTGTAAAACTGCTTCTGAGTGGTGAAGACGTCTGGCGGGCGGAGAAACCAGAACCAATTAGAAGCAGAGAAGCTTAGCAGTAGGAGGCGGGGCTGAGGGCGGGATTGAAGGATTTGCGTCACGGATTGGCCCACTTTCCAAGTTGATCTCTTCTTAGAGCCCCCCCCCCTCAGCACCTCCGGCTAATTTCCAACGCTCCCGAGCTCAACGCAGAGCTCCGCCTCCTTCCCCACAGGCTCCTCCCATTCACCAACAAACTGGGCCTCCACTCCCCAAAAGAGGCGGCTCCACGGATACCTAAGCCCCACCCACCTACACCAAGCACCTCCCACTTTATGGATGGCCCCGCCTCGATGCCATAGACCCCGCCCACTTCGCATGGTGCCCCGCCTCTGTAGTTCAAATTCCCCCCCCCCCGACCCCCCGAGAGCTGCACGGGTGGGAGATCCGGAAAAATGTCTCCACCCTGCCCCAGCCAGCTACGTCCATCCGTCCGTCTGTCCACTCCCGCCCCCTTCACCGTCTCCAGTCCCCCCCACACTCCGGAGGGCGGGCGGGCAGGCGGGTGCGAACGAGGGGTGTGCGCGGCTCTCTCGGCGGGGGGCGGGGGAGGCGGCCGCGCGGTGACGCGCGGGGCTGCTGCGGCTGCTCCGCCGGCGGATCATCACTCTCTAGCTGGGATGGACGCGGGGCGGGAGGGCCCTGGCGCGCAGAACCAGGAGTCCGGGCCTCCTGGATGCTGAAGCCTTCTTCCACCCCCGCCTTTCCTCCTAGGAGCAGCGCCGACCTCTGCCTTGTGGCTCTGGACTCCGCTCCCGCCCTCCTCTGACTCCTTGGACCTCCCCCTCCCGCCCGCCCGCCCTCGGGATCGACTAGATCCCTCCCCCTCCCTGAGGATTCCGGCTGGATCCTTGCCCCTACACCGCAGATCCTGCGCTCCGAGGCCCCGGGCCCCTGGGGATTGCCGTGGACGCTTCCTCTAGCACCCGATCCCTTAGGCTCATCCGCCTGGACCGCCTTCTGGTCCCTCGAAGCCGGCACAAGAGCCACTGGATCTCTGGTCCAGTACTGTCTTGTTGCCCCCTCCTGGCTCTGCTGTCCCCACTGCGGGGTTCCCTGTTCTCGGGCTCCCCCTGACCTCATACCCTAGGCTCTCTTTTCCCGGGGATCGACTGGATCCCGGCCCCGCCCCCCGGGGCTGGGGCGATCCCCCTCCCCCGCCGGGTGAGGCGCTGCGGGCGGGGGCTGGGCCTGCGGGGCCGCGGGGGCTCAGAGGCCGCCGCCCCCCTCCTGAAGCCCGTCCGCCCCCTACTCGGAGCCCTGGATGGAGGCACCACGGCCCCAGGGCTGAGCCAGGTAGGAGCTAAGTCAGGCTGGGGAGGGGGGGGGCTGTGTGGCGGTCCACTGGGGTCTCCCTCCCCGTCTCTCTTCCTGCGCCCGGTTTCCCCCAGCCTGCTCTGTCTGCGTGTCTCCGCCTAGGGATGCTCTCGCCGTGTCTCTGCGTCTTGGTCTCTTTGTCTCTGCCTCTCTCCAGTCCATGAATGATCCTTTGAATGGGCCCACAGACCCCGTGTGTTCCCATTTCCCCCTCCCCCTCCTTCTCCCCTTCCCAGCCAAGCCATTTTCCCCACTGCGGGAAGGGGGGGGGCTGCGGCCTGAGCCCCCATCCCTCAACTCTCCCTGACTGGGGGAGTCAGGCCTGGGCTGGAATGGAGAAAGCAGGGCGGCAGAAGGATGGGGAGAAGGAGGGGGAGGAAGATGTGGAAGAGATGGGGAGAGAAAATGGGGGAGACAGAGACATGGAAAGACAGAGGGAGAGAGAGGGAGGGAAGGAGAGAGAGGGAGAGAGAGGGAGAGAGAGGGAGAGAGAGAGAACTGGGGAAGGTATTTGGAGGAGAAAAAGATGAGGAGCACCAAGGAGAGAGATGTACAAGAGTGAAATGAAAAAAGACTAAGGAGCGAGAGACTGTAGGCAAGAGCTGGAGCAAGCTGGAAAAAGCCAAGGAAAGATGTTCTGAGGGAGTGCTTTGGAGAGGAGAAAGATGAGGAGGGGGGGAGAGAAAGAGGGAAGGGGGGCTCCAGTGGGAGGAAAGAAGGGAGAGAAAGCTGGCTAGAGGGGAGGAGGCCAGGGGCCCAAAGTATCCTAAAAGAAGAGGGGTAGCAAGCAGGCCCAATTGATGGGGGGGATTAGGAGGGGAGAGCAGCAAGGCCATGGTGGCTGAGCCCAGCTTGATATGAGAAGTGGAAATCCTAGGGGAGTAATCCAAGCTTGCCCCCACCTATGTGATAGAAGACCAAACTGGAGCTTAACCAGACCTAAAGAGGGGGAGGGCATGGTTGGGTGTGAGTGGTAAGGATTCCTGCGTCCTCATCTCTGGAATAAATTGACACCTGCAGAGAGCCACCCGCGGGCTGGCGCCTGGCTCTGAAAACCCCGTGTCAGCAAACAGCTCTGGCGGCTGGTTGGAGGGGGGGGGTTGGGGGGGCTCTTGAAATGGCCTGGGTGTCTGCCCCTTTTGTCTGATCTGTCCCTGTCCTGCCCCTGCTGCCCTGAGCAACCCAGGCTTGAGAGCAGTAAATGTGGCAGAACTGGCAAGGGGAAGGGGAGGGTGAATGGATGGGATGGGATGGGATGGGATGGGATGGGATGGGATGGGATGGGATAAGAAGAAAGCTTCAGTACGCCCCCAGTACATAGGTCAAAATGCTGTGCAAAAAAGAGGTGTCTGGGGTCTAAGGCTGTGGAGTGGGAGGGGGCAGTTAGTAGGCTCATTTGCTGCTGCCTCAAGCCCACCTTAGCAACCCGTTCTCCCCAGCCTGAGGTCTGGTCACTAGAGCTCTGGGGGCTATGATTAGCTAAGAAGGTGGTGGTGAGGAGGCCAAAGGTAGAGATTTTTTTTATGGTTCTCTGTACCCCTAGGTTCCCCTTTAATCTGCATATATACTTCTTCCTCTATGCTAAGGTTGGGGAAACTCTTAGCATTCTGACTTAACACCTCTGCCTTTTCCCTCATGCCCTGAATGGACTCTACAACCAAGACAGCCCCTTCCCCTTTTTCTCTAGATGCCCCCCCCCCTTTCCAGGGTTAAAGCTGCAGCCCGTTGCCGAGGTAACATTGCAGGGCAGCATCCCGTCGCCCGGCAACCGGCTGCAGGATCACGCATCTGTCCCTGGATTTGCCCCTTCAGCATCCCCTCCCTACTCTAACTCCTGCCTCTAAGCACCCCAACTTCTGAGGGAAGAAATGTAAGGACCTGAGGAGAGAGGGGGTCCTAGGTCCTTAGGGAATGGTATGTTGAAGAAGAGAAGATGCTGGGTTTGTACAGTCCAAAGAAAGGCCCCAGTCTGGCCTGGGGTGGGGGTTCAGCACCATAAAATTACAGCTCAGGAGTAATTAACACGTATAAACAAACCCGCCACTTCCTGCTAATTAATGACTTGGTATTTTTATTTTTCTCTTCCTTGTCTATCTCATTCCCTCTCCCGGGGAGGTGGGGACAGGGACTCCTGTGCCCCTGGGGAGAAAGCCTATGTGTCTGGGATAAAGAACCTGGGAAGACTAGCATATACCAAGCTCTGGGTTTGATTCCCCCAGCACCACAAAAAAAAATAATAATAAATAAAGCTAAAAAACAAAGCAGCAACAAAAAAAGGTTAGAAAGGGCAGCATTAGGTTTGGGATGCTCACCTTCCCTGTCCTGATATTTGCTACATCGCACTCCCACCCCCAACGTGGGTCTCTGTTGAGGGAAGAGGGTTGAGGGAGGTGTTGGGGGCGGGGGGGGGTAAATGGGTGGAAGAACGGGACAACTTGGTCTGCAATCCAAGTCACTAACCACTTGTCTTCTGTTTCCCCACTCCTTACTGTCCGACCCATCCAACTTCCCTTCCCTTCTGCCTTTCTGTGTCTGTCTGTCTTGTCTGTCTGTCCGTCTCTTGCACATCCTGCCCTTCCCACTCTGCCTCCCGCAGGTCAGGCCTGCCTGCACCATCTTCGGCCTCCTTCCCTTTCCCCACCCCTTGCCCCCTCCATGGAGAGGAACAGACCCGTTCTCCGTCCAGTCTAACCTAGGTCCCTACCAGCCCCCCTCCTCCTTCCTGTTCCCCGCCCCCTCCTCCCTCCTGGGGCGAGGGGGGCCTCCCTCCCTCTCCCCCCCCTTCTCTCTCTCTCCGAGGGGGGGGGTCCCGGGGAGGGAGGGGGGGGTCCCCGATCAGCATGTGGCTCCTGGCGCTGTGTCTGGTGGGGCTGGCTGGGGCTCAACGGGGGGGAGGGGGTCCCGGCGGAGGCGCCCCCGGCGGCCCGGGCCTGGGCCTTGGCAGCCTCGGGGAGGAGCGCTTCCCAGTGGTGAACACAGCCTACGGGCGAGTACGCGGAGTGCGGCGCGAGCTCAACAACGAGATCCTGGGCCCCGTCGTGCAGTTCTTGGGCGTGCCCTACGCCACGCCGCCCCTGGGTGCCCGCCGCTTCCAGCCGCCTGAGGCGCCCGCCTCGTGGCCCGGCGTGCGCAACGCCACCACCCTGCCACCCGCCTGCCCGCAGAACCTCCACGGGGCCCTCCCGGCCATCATGTTACCTGTGTGGTTCACCGACAACTTGGAGGCGGCCGCCACCTATGTTCAGAACCAGAGCGAGGACTGCCTGTACCTCAACCTCTACGTGCCCACCGAGGACGGTAAGGGCGCGGGCACGAGGCCGGGGACCCTGTGGAACACAGCCCACAAACGCGCACGCAGACACTCGGGCGCTGGAACCCGCTCCCGCCGCCCCGAGCCGGGCCTTGGTGGGAGCCGTAAATCCCTGCAGTCTCTGCACATCCTCTGAGGACGGTAAGGGTGCTTGCCAGGCAGCCACAGGAGCAACCCACAGACAGCCATTCTCGGAGTTCTTTGTGCCCTAGAGACTATGGTAAGAGTAAGCAGGCACTAGGTTCACTTGCCCTCTCTCCGAAGAAGCATGCAACCAGCCCCTTAATTTCTGGGTGCTCTGATCATGGCTCGGCTCCATCACCTGCCCAGAATGACCACTCCAGCTTTGCTCTACCTCTCACTTTTAATGTTTGGCATACCAACCCACTTTAGCTATATCCACACATTAAGAACAGATTCTCTGCTCCCCAGCTAGCCTAAGCAAACATCAGGCCATCATCTGGGGAGCCCAGAGCCCCAAAACTAAGCTGAATGCCTTTGTTGATGGTACTCACTCCTTCCCCTTCTATCTCTGTATAAGAGATTAAAAAAAAATCAGTCATGGGGCTTGAACTCAGGGCCTAGGGTTTTTCACTCAAGGCTAGTGCTGTACTACTTTGAGCCACAACTCACTTTGAGTCACTTCTGGCTTTCTGCTGGTTAATTGGAGATAAGAGTCTCACAGACTATCCTGCCCGGCTGGCGTCCAACTGAAACCCTCAGATCTCAGCCTCCTGCCTGAGTAGCTAGGATTACAGGCATGGGCCACCAGTGCCTGGCTAAGATTTCTATCTCTTATACAGAGATACTTATACATCCCTGAAGGATCAGAAAAGCTTCTTGCCAAGGGCTCCTCTACTCACAGCCCAGCCCACCTATCCCTATCAGAACATCTCCCTGGGGCTCTGAGCTACTGCTCTTATTAATGAACTCCTGGCTACTACAGGACTTCTCTAAAGCTCCAGCTCACGCCTCCAGATAGTTCTCTACCCACCAACCTACACAGGAAGATTAATCAGAACACCTTCCAGCTATCTACAACAGATTTCAACCACCCCAAAAACCATCTTCACAAACAGCCCCCACATTACCTTCTGATACACCATCTTACCATTACCAAAGCATGCCAACACCTCCACAGAGCCAGTCCACTGCTGCAACCCTCCTCCCAGGCTGTTTTCAACAACCTTACATATGGACCAGAAACTCCAGTTCTCACTGTAGAATGTTTCCACTGTTGAATACAGATCATGTTCCCAGCCACCCAGGACACCACACAAGTCACAATTCTGAACACCTTCACAGAATACACATGACCTATACTTCCTGAAAATGGTATGTAACCCGTCACTCATACAGACCCAAATTCCCTAGCACCTTTAAGTATATTAGAGGTGCTAATATACATATACGTATGCCCTCTTTCTTAACTCTGAATGTGCACTGTGCAGTACCCAATACCCTTACCACTTTTCATACATTATTTACCCCAGAGTCTACCTGGAGATCATTTGAACAATACTTACCTCAGGCAGAGACTGCATACTTTTTTTTTTTTTTTTGTCTATCCTGGGGCTTGAACTCAGGGCCTGGTACTGTCCCTGAGCCCCTTTGTACTTCAAGGCTAGCACTCTACCACCTCAGCCACAGCACCACTTCCAGCTTTATGTGGTGCTGAGGAATCGAACCCAGGGCCTCAGGCATGCAAGGCAAGCGCTCTACCACTGAGCCACCTTCCCAGCCCCTGCATACCTTTTTGACAGATGAAATTCTGCATCCATGCAAACACACACCCATTGCCCCTCCCACATCCACCTCCCACAATTGAATATGTGTGTGTGTGGGTGCATGCTGGTCCTAGTGCTTTGAACTCAGGGCCTATGTGCTGTCCCTGACTTTTTTTTTTCTCAAGGCTGACACTCTACCACTTGAGCCACAGCCCCACCTCCAGCTTTTTAGTAATTTATTGGGGATGAGAGTCGTGCAGACTTCCCTGCCCAGACTGGTTTTGAACCGAAATCCTCAGATGCTGAATAGCTAGGATTACAGATTTGAGCCATTGGCTCTTGCACCCTAATTCCCATAATCCATTTACCCCAACATACTCTCCACATCTTCCCCCAATTCCTCCACCCCACCCCACCCCCACCTACCTGCAAGAGAGCTATCCACTCCATACCCCCTTCTATCCTGTGGGGGAACACCCATTGCAGGGCCCTCCTAGCTGTGAGTCCCTCATCCCAGTTCCTCTATCCAGACAGACTCTGTGTCATCTCAACCCCACTTTTAGACTGTATCCCAATACTTTCACAAAGGTTGTCCACCCTTATGGGGGGCTTTTTCATCACTCCCCCCATGTGAAACACCAACACTTCCCACCACCGAACTGTCCACCCCAATACCTCTCATAAATTGTTTGTCCCTTACTAACACCTCCAAACAAGTTGTCTGTCCCTGCCTCCACACCTTCTGTATTTTTAACCATTGCATTTTTGCAGACCTGCTTGGGGCCTGACACATTCAGGTGATCTCACTTACTCTTCACACCAGCTCTAGGAGGAAGAGGTTTTCACGCGCACGCACATGCACACACACACACACACACACACACACACACACACACACTTCATATTCTCCCAAGCATGCATATATCCTGCTGACTTCATCTCCATCTACATCATCTCACAAAGAATCTGTTCCCCACTGGTCCTTAAGGGGGCTGGCCTTGTCAGGGAAATCTTTCAGAGCTAACCTGGGCCTTGCTGACAAGGCCTATGCTGCTGAGGGAAGAAAAAAAAATCAGCTTGAGGGAACCCCCTAAGGTCTTTGGGTTCTAGCTCTTCCCTAACCAATCCCTTGACCTGAAAGAAGCCTGGTGCCCACCTCTGAGCCCAGTGTGGAGCCTTTCCTGGACTCTGGACATGCTGTCCCTCTCAACACATTTTTCAATATGTGCACACATCCCAAGTTTCACACTGGCCTGGGGCACTGTATTTCAGTTGTAGAATGAACCCCCATCAAGAGGGGAGGAGGGATCTTTGACAGTGGAGCTGGGGAGGGGGTGGGTAGAGCTCGGGGGAGGGAGGAAAGGAGGCCTGGGTAGGGGATGAGGTGGGTGGGAGTGTGGAGGGATGAGTTGGAGTGGAGGGCAAGACCTGATAACCCCTTTCCCTGCTTTGCCCATACTGGGGAGATGGGGTGAGAAGCCAGGCCTTGTGAGTATGGATGGAAGAGATATGCCAGCAGGCAAGGCTGGGTAGGTGGGCAGCCCTTAGCTGACCTACTCAGCCTTTCAGTGAGGAGCAGAGGGCTTCTGGGGGCTGTAACAGCGGGGTAGGCTACCCCCAACCCCATTCTGCCCAATACCCTCCAGAGCCTTCTAGAGGGAAGCAGTCTTTTCTGCCTAGCCTCTCCACAGCCTGGATAGGGCAGCCGGCATCAACTTGCCTGTCCCTGAAGGAGCCCTTCTTGGAAGGTGGCCTGGGTGGCAAGCTAGCCTTGGTCTCCAGGGCTCCCCCTCCTTCCCACCCCACCCCTTCTAACACCTTTTCATTTCCAGCAACTAGCAAATACACAACAAACCAAATTCTTTCCAGCCAAGAGTCCATATGTCTTAAGACAGGCCTCAGACCACTCAGGCACCTTACCCTCCCTCCAAAAACAAAGACAAAACAAAACCCACCTTTTCTTTGGGGCATGACTTTTTCTGGGGAGGGGAACAAAACTGGGTTATAGAAAACGTTTTTCTCTTTTCTTGGTTTCTTTTTCTTGCAAACAAATTTTGCTTTTTTTGGCTTATTTTTTCTGCCTCTCCCCACCCTCCCCTTTTCTGCTTTCTCTCCTCCCCTCCCCATCCACTACCTCCCCTGACCCCCCATCTTTCCCCACAAAATTGTCCTTTTTTCTCTGTTTTGTGTTCCCGGTCTTAGGTCCGCTCACAAAAAAACGTGACGAGGCGACGCTCAATCCGCCAGACACAGGTAGATTTAAAAATCCCGCTGCTGCATGTGGTTGCTTATAAGAGGAGTTTATGGCCCTGCCCCTAACTAAATGCCCCACAGCCCTCAAGGCCCCCTCAGTTGTTCTCCTAACTAAAAAGTGAAAGAAAAAAAAAAAGAAAAGAAAAAATTTTAATTGGAAAAAAATTATGAAAACTTCAAACGAAATTTGAACAATGTTGGACCCACTAGAAAACCTGCAAGAAAAGTTACTTATGGTGAAAATAAGAAGTGGAAATTGAAATATCAGAACAAATTGAATAAAATGTTTCGAATTTGAAAGAAATTTGGACTGTTTTGAAACATGAAATGTGCCATTTGGAAAAGAAATTTAATTTGGAGAAAAATACTATTTGGAAAAAAAATTAAGTTGGCAAATTGATGACACAATTGAAACATCAGAAATCAAAACGCCAGTCAGACACAGAAAAGGCGAACATTTGAATCAAATCAAAGCATTTGGAAATTTTTGAAAACAGGGCCCAATATCTTGAAGTTTCACCACAAAATTTTGAAAAAAAAATGCAAAGAATTTTTTTTCTTTTTTTTTTTTCCAAGATGGAGCTTTTTATTTTTTTCTTTTCTTGTTGAAATCTGCCCCAGAGCTTCTTGCTTTTTGGTTGTTGTTGTTTTTTTTTTTTTCTTTCTTTCTTCTTTCTTGATCTTTTTTGTTGTTGGTTTTGAATTCTTGTTGCCCCAGCCCCTCTTCCTGGAACCTTCCCTTTCTGACTCCCCTCCCCCACACCGGGAGAGGGGTGGTGGGAGGAGGGTGAGGAATTAAAGACATTTTAGCACAAGGCTTTGGAGGGAAAAAGAGATTCCGGCTGGAAAATGCTGGAAAGTCAGGAATGGAGGGGATTTGGGGATGCCACACAGGGGATACTGCCCACCCGGGAGCAGGAGACTACCAAAAAGGCCTAAAGAGACAAAGGCAGGAACTAGCTAGGAAGAGTCTAGGGGAAATGTCCCAGGTAACCTACTGGTGGGCCTTGAAGAAAAGATAAAGAATGAGGGAGGTAGCCCAGGTTATAGGGACCAGCTTTGGGGGTCCAAGCATAGCTTCTATTTGAGTACCTAGTAAGTCAGAGATGACAGGTGTTAAGAGAGCCCAGGTGATTCAGCATGGACATGAATGTGGCTGAATCATGAGGGACTCCCAGTGGGACTATAACTTTGGGGACTTTGGCAGACCCTCTCAGATTCCCAACCTCTTTGGGAATTGCCCACCCCTCAGTCCTATGCAGTCTTGAGAGTAGTATGTGGGCCTACTATGTGTGGCAGTTATTAAAAGATCCTTTGGGGGGATGTGGCAGGGAAGGAGTCCTGTGGCCAGATCCAGAGCTCAGGCTAGTATATGGGGGTGGGGGGGGACGCAGTCTAAGATTCTGAGCTCCATCCTGACTTCATTAGGCAGCTCTTTCCCACCCTGCCTCCTGCCACAGTAATTAGGCTGGGGGTTGCCATGGTAACTGGGGAGGTGACCTAGAAAGGAATTAGGGCGGGGAAGAGACCAAGCCCCCAGGGACCCTAGGGCTTGACACCCCTCACCCACAGACCAGGGTGCCATGTGAAGTCAGGGCCTAAGCATGAGTCTCAGGAAATGCCAGGACCCTCCTAGCACCTTCAGCCTCAGTGCCCTCTTCCTAGGACCAGGAGGGAGATTTACTGTGTGTGTGTGTGTGGAGGGGTCCTGGGCTCCAGCAGGCACCCTAAGGAGGGCCGCCTCCCATCCTGTCCAAAGTTGGGCTGTTTGGGAGGTCTGTCCAGCCATCTGGTGATGCGCTTGGGTATATGCTGGTCGAGGGTTAGGAGGGGACCTCCCTCCAGGGCTAGCTGGGGAGGGAGGGAGGAAGGGGAATCCGGTCTTGCCCCCCCAGGGATGGGAGTGACAAGTCCTCTGAGCTCCTGGCTGGTCTTCAGTAGGCCTGAGAGCTCTGGTATGTGTTGCTTCTGGTCTGACTGTGTCCTTATCCTCAATCTCCTGGCCCACCTGCCACCCTCTCCCTGCGCAGATATCCGGGACTCCGGGAAGAAGCCGGTAATGCTGTTCCTACACGGAGGCTCCTACATGGAGGGCACTGGAAACATGTTTGATGGCTCAGTCCTGGCTGCCTACGGGAATGTCATCGTAGCCACGCTCAACTACCGTCTTGGGGTGCTAGGTGAGGGTGGGTGGCCATCTTTGGGAGGGGGGCAGAATCTGGGAGGCAGGCTGGTAGAAAGATTTTTGTTGTTGTTGTTGTTGGTTTTTAGCAGTGGGGAACTTTTTCTCCACCAAGGACTATTTGATTTGGATAAGTAGAACAACATTCATTAAATTTCAAATCCTGCCTACCGTTCCTTTGGCAGGGCTAGCCCAAATGATTTCAAGAGCCTTATATAGCCTAGGGTGCAGGTTTAGTAAACTCAGGAGAGTGGGTTCTAGGCTGGACTAAAGTACCCAGAAAGAGGGCCAAGGGTACTGTTGACACCTCCAGGGAGCCCCTTCTTTTTGTATCCCCAGGTTTTCTCAGCACTGGGGACCAGGCTGCAAAAGGCAACTATGGGCTCCTGGACCAGATCCAGGCTCTGCGGTGGCTCAGTGAAAACATTGCCCACTTTGGGGGTGACCCTGAGCGCATCACCATCTTTGGGTCTGGGGCAGGGGCCTCCTGTGTCAACTTGCTGATCCTCTCCCACCACTCAGAAGGTACTGCAGCCTTTCTAGCTGATCGCACTCTTCTCAAAGCCCTGACCCTCCCAAGTCCTTCTCCTTTTGGCTGATATTCACAACCCCACCTGATATCTGCCTGTCCCATCAGGGCTGTTCCAGAAGGCCATTGCCCAGAGTGGCACTGCCATTTCCAGCTGGTCTGTCAACTACCAGCCGCTCAAGTACACGCGGCTGCTGGCAGCCAAGGTGGGCTGTGACCGAGAGGACAGTGCTGAAGCTGTGGAGTGTCTACGCCGGAAGCCATCCCGGGAACTGGTGGACCAGGATGTGCAGCCGGCCCGGTATGGGGGTGGGAGAGGGCTGGGGGCAAGCCTTCACACTCCTTCCTGTTTCTAAGGAGGTTGAGGGGAAAGGTGACTGCAGGTATTCCATGGGCAAAGAGATGTGGGTTTCAGGCCCATCTAGTGCCCTTCTTCTAGCAGCCTTCCCTCAGTAGAAGTGGCTAAATAGAGCAAGTGAGCCCAGGGTGCCATGAAATGCTTCAGGAAGATTTTCAGGGAGGACAGTTCCTTGAGGGATTCTCAGTTTTTTGTAGTTGTTGTTTTGTTTTGTTTTTTTGGGGGGGGCTTGAACTCAGGGCTTGGGTACTATCCCTGAGCTTTTTCACTCAAGGCTAGTGCTCTATCACTTTGAGCCACAAGTGCCACTTCTGGTTTTCTAGTGGTTAATTGGAGATAAGAGTCTCACAAACTTTCCTGCCCGGGCTGGTTTCAAACCCTGCTCTTCAGATCTCAGCCTCCTGAGTAGCTAGGATTACAGGTATGAGCCACTAGTGCCTGGCTCTCTAGGAGGTTTTCAAGTAGGGGAGAAGGGTCTTTCAGGCAGACAAAAGACACCTACATATGTGAGCCTTTGGGCCCAGAAGAGGCCAATGAGCAAATAATGAGACCTTTCTCCTTCTCCCCAGCTACCATATTGCCTTTGGGCCTGTGGTGGATGGCGATGTCGTCCCCGATGACCCTGAGATCCTCATGCAGCAGGGAGAATTCTTAAACTATGACATGCTCATCGGTGTCAACCAGGGAGAGGGCCTCAAGTTTGTGGAGGATTCTGCAGAGAGTGAAGATGGTGTGTCCGCCAGTGCTTTCGACTTCACTGTCTCCAACTTTGTGGACAATTTGTATGGTTACCCAGAGGGCAAGGATGTGCTTCGGGAAACCATCAAATTCATGTATACAGACTGGGCTGACCGGGACAACGGCGAGATGCGACGCAAGACTCTGCTGGCACTCTTTACTGACCACCAATGGGTGGCCCCAGCTGTGGCCACTGCCAAGCTACATGCTGATTACCAATCCCCTGTCTACTTTTACACCTTCTATCACCACTGCCAGGCCGAGGGCCGGCCAGAATGGGCAGATGCGGCGCATGGAGATGAGCTGCCCTACGTATTTGGTGTGCCTATGGTGGGCGCCACTGACCTCTTCCCCTGCAACTTCTCCAAGAATGATGTCATGCTCAGCGCAGTGGTCATGACCTACTGGACCAACTTCGCCAAGACTGGGTGAGGGCCAGAGGGTCTGGGTGGGGCACCCTTGCAGGTTGATGTACCCTTGCCATCCTTGGCTGTTGAGATCAACAAACACTACTGAACACCTTCTCTACCAGGCTTGGAGCTTTAGCAGAGGCCCCTGTCCTTTCTGTGGGTGGATTCCCTGGGTGGCTTTGGCTTGGTGTCTAGCTTTCTCCTTCCTTCCTTGCCTACTTACCCCACTGTCTCCCACCTCCTACCAGTGCTCTGGCCCTGTCTGAACACTCAGATCTATATCCAAGGACATAAGGTCTGTCTCTTCACCTGAAGCTCATTGACATCTCTTCCTTTCCCTCTCTGATCTGCTTACTTCTAGCTACCTCTGGCTGCTGGCTGTACACTGTCTGTTGCTGGCTGTCTCTCAAGTGTCTTTGTCTCTCTGTTCTCTTTTCTCAATCTCCGCTTCTCTCACTAGGTATCTGTCTCTGGCTGTCTTCCTCCCTCTGTCTCTCCAGCCCTGCCTCTGATCATCTCTTTGTCTTTTCATGTCCATGTCCATTTCTCTGCCTCTATGATTTTTTTTTCTCTGATTGGCTTTCTTTCTTTCCTCTCTCTCTTCTTTTCCTTCCTTCCTTCCTTCCTTCCTTCCTTCCTTCCTTCCTTCCTTCCTTCCTTCCTCCCCTTATTTCTTTGTTTCTTCCCTTCTTTCCTTCCTTCCTTATTTCTTAAAAGCTGGCACTCTACCACTTGAACCATACTCCACTTCAGTTTTTTGGTGGTTAATTGGAGATAGGAGTCTCACGGACTTTCCTGCATGGGCTGGCTTTGAACCAGGGATCTTCAGATCTTAGCCTTCTGAGTACTAGGCTTTCTTGCTATTTCTCCATCTCTCAGCCTCTCTGTCTGCTCCTTCCCTTTTGCTACCCACTTTCCTTTGGAGCCTCCTCCTCACACTCCTCATTTTCTTGCCCTCCTATGCTTACAGTGACCCCAACCAGCCGGTACCCCAGGACACCAAGTTCATCCACACCAAGCCTAACCGCTTTGAGGAAGTGGTGTGGAGCAAGTTCAACAGCAAGGAGAAGCAGTACCTACACATCGGCTTGAAGCCTCGTGTGCGTGACAACTACCGCGCCAACAAGGTGGCCTTCTGGCTGGAGCTCGTGCCCCACCTGCACAACCTGCACACAGAGCTCTTCACCACCACCACGCGCCTGCCTCCCTATGCCACGCGCTGGCCACCTCGCCCACCTCCGGGTGCCCCAGGCACACGTCGGCCCCCACCCCCTGCCACCCTGCCACCCGAGCCGGAGCCGGAGCCAGGCCCAAGGGCCTACGACCGCTTCCCTGGGGATTCTCGAGACTACTCCACGGAGCTAAGTGTCACCGTGGCCGTGGGTGCCTCCCTCCTCTTCCTCAACATCCTGGCCTTTGCCGCCCTCTACTACAAGCGGGACCGGCGGCAGGAGCTGCGGTGCCGGCGGCTCAGCCCACCCGGAGGCTCCGGGTCAGGCATGCCCGGTGGGGGCCCCCTGCTTCCTGCTGCTGGTCGTGAGCTGCCCCCAGAAGAGGAGCTGGTTTCACTGCAGCTGAAGAGGGGTGGTGGCGTTGGGGTGGACCCTGTTGAGGCCCTGCGCCCTGCCTGCCCACCCGACTACACCCTGGCCCTGCGCCGGGCACCAGACGATGTGCCTCTCTTGGCCCCGGGGGCCCTGACCCTGCTGCCCAGTGGCCTGGGGCCACCACCGCCACCACCACCCCCTTCTCTCCATCCCTTTGGGCCCTTCCCTCCACCTCCCCCAGCCGCTGCCAGCCACAACAACACGCTACCCCATCCCCACTCCACCACTCGGGTATAGGGGGCGGCTTGGGGAGGTCCTCCTCCCCTCCCCTCCCCTCCCCAGCCCAGGCCACTCTGCAGGCAGGGAGGAGGACTTGGCATCAGCGTTTCTCCTGTGGAGTTGTCACACATCATCAATCAGCGTGAAGGTGGACATTGGATTCCTCACTGGGATGCGTGTTTTTTTTCCCCCCCGTGCAGAGAGGCCCATTCTCTTCCCTGGACCTGGGCCTTTGAACATCTGGGGGCTGTTTTTTGCCCTCTGTTGGGACACCAGTCTTCGGTATGTGGAAATACGAATTCTTTTCCCGCGTGGAGGCGTGCTTTCCTCGTGAAGGGGGTGTTTTCCCATGTGCAGGGTGAGGTTTGTTTTTTGGGTTTTTTTGGTTGTTTTTGCCACCCTGGACACATGTTGGCCCTCTCAAAGAATTTCTGGGGGGATTTGTACCCCAGAATCCTATTCCCTCATGCTTTCTTCCCATTCCTCCCCTCCTTCCGATCCTCCTGGAGACCCTGGAAGTGATGCGATCACACAGAGTGACCCTTGGCCGCCAGACAACACATGGTGGTGCCTGAAAGGCAGCAAGGAAATCACAGGCTCCCCTCCCCACCCATCCCCCCCCCCCCCCACCTCCCCACCCCCACCACTCCTGAAAAGCATGTTTCTCCCCCACGGCACAAGTCAGATGAAGCACGTTCTCCCGGGGAGGCCCTTGCCTTCCACAGACAACAGACACAGATTTCCTGCCAGGGAAAGGAAGGAGATCTGTGCATCCCGGTGCTGCCTGGAAACATTTCCCCATGGTCCAGGACACATTTCACTGAGTGGGAACATGTTGTTGCATGTGGATGTGTGTTTCCCAGGCAGAGGGTCCCTCTCCAAGGCACTTTCCCTGCATCCCCTGCCCCTCCCGGAGCCTTAGGCCCAGCACTCATTTCCTACTCACACAGCAAGTGGGAACAAGCTTCAAGTTGACAGAGCTGGGGGTGGGGAGGAGGGGGATGTACCAGTCCTGAGATGCTGGATTGGAGGGGCACAGGATGGGAAAAGGGGGGGAGGCATGGCACATGCCACCCGTGGAGGCCATGCATGTTTGACCAAAGCCCTCATGGGGCCTAAGGATAGCCTTTCCCTTAGTACTCAGATCATTGCTCATCTGTGCCAAACTGAATAGATACGTTTGGGGGAGGGAAGAACCTCAAAATGTGCCAAGATCCCCCAGTCTTAGGGCAAGGCAGATGGAACACAGGGCAGGGGCATGTGGCAGCTAAGAAGGCCCTCTCCCCCCCAACCCCGCCTGTGGTCTTGTTCCCTAGTTGTCCCTTTCTGCCTAAGTTCCCCATTCTCCATCCCTGTTTCCCTCGTTAAAGCTGTCCCCCATCTCAGGGTCAGACCAACCTTCTCTCCTTCGTCTTTTAACCGGCCTACCCTCCCTGACAGCAGGGCTGAAGGAAAGGCGCAATGGGTGGAGGAGGGGGAAGGGACCAGGAAAAGAAAGGTTTCACAGACAGGTTGGTTGGGGAGAGAATGAGGTCAGCTGTACTGAGGAGCAGATGGAGGGGGCTGTGAGGACAGGGTTTGTTGCAGACACCAGCAAGAATTTGAAAGCAACGAAAGGCAACTGCCCAAAGGCCCCTGGGTTTGGCCCTCTATGGAAAAGGATATCAGGAAGGGTTTTCAATGGATACCAGGGAGCAAATGAATCCTCATGTGCCGTGTGGCTTTCTGTGTAACGCTAGTGCCAAACTTGAGTAGGGATAGGGTGCTGTCTTTCACTGACACACCCAGATCCAGAGACCCTGGTCTTGAGTCCCAGAACTTTGCCTCGATTGTCCTTTCTCCCACTTCCACTCATGGAAAAGTTCTTTTCTGGCCCTTCCCCATACCTAGTCTAGTTCCTGTTGGAACAACCATGCCCTCCAAATGCTAGCGACCTGGGCCCTGAGCCCTGTAGGCAGATGCCCCCAGTGAGGCATGGAGGGGGGCTGGGGGACCCCAAGATACAGCCACGGACTCCAATGCCTAGCCCCCCCCTCCCCACCCCCAAACAATCCCATGTCCCTATCCCAATCCTTTGCGGCTCTGTACACATTTTTAAACCTGGCAAAAGATGAAGACAATATTGTAAATATAAAAGTTTAACTGTTGGTGTGTCTGCTGTTATGTTAGAAGGTTGTTGGCATGGGGAGGAGTACGGCTCTCATTGTGACTGAGGCCTGAGAGGAAGAGGGTAAAGTTGACATGGTAATGGGATTGTCTGGAAGATTAAGACTTGTGTCCTTAACCCTAGCTACTCAGGATACTGAGGTCTGATAGTGAACGTTCAAAGCCCTGGGCAGGAAAGTCTATGAGACTCTTATCTCCAATTAACCACTCAAAAGCTGGGAGTGGAGCTGTGGCTCCAGCGGTAGAATGAAAAAGCTAAGGGACAGTGCCCAGGCCCTGTGTTCAAGCCCTAATACCAGCACCAAGACAAAAAACCCACACATGTTTTCAAACCTATTACTCAGGAGGCTCAAGCAGGATAAATTTGAGAGCAGGGACTGGGAAGGTGGCTCAATGGTAAGAGTGCTTGTCTTGCATGCAAGAGGCCCTGGGTTCATTTTCTCAGGACCACATAAGCAAAAAAAAGCCAGAAGTGGCTCTGTGGCTCAAGTGGTAGAGCACAAGCCTTGAGCTGAAGAACTCAGGGACAGCGCCCAGGCCCAGAGTTCAGGCCTCACAATTGAGAAAAAAAAAAAAAAAAGTTTGAGAGCAGCCTGAGTCTCAGCAGGCTGAGACTTCTATCTCAATATAAATAAATAAATAAATAAATCATGACCTAGGTCTGTACAGAGACAGGATAGAACCTGGTATAGTTCTACAGAAGGGGGCAGGGACTGGTGGAATTAGATGGCAAAAAGCCAGAGCCAATGGGCTGGTGCATACACAGCAAAGGGTTTGGCCTCTGACAAGGCCTGGCTCAGACTGGAGGTCAATCCTGGCTAGGCCCAGACTTTGAAAATAACCCCTTGCTACATTATGAGGGAAGGCCCAAGCATCATTGTGACCCGCTCACCCTCAGGACCCTCTGGGTCAGACAAGTAGACCAGTGGACACTGTGGGCACAGTAGGCTGGGGGCCTAAGGGCCCTGGTGGCCCTAGGGACCGCCATGGCCATGGCTGAGCGGCCACGGCCTGGGTGGGCCTCGTATCACAACCCTAACACCAACAACTGCCAGGACGTGGGCAACTCCATCTTGTTGCTGTTGGGCCTCGTCATCTGCATTAACATTGGCATCAATATGGTGACCCTGGTCAGGGCAAGGAGAAGTGGGAGGGTTCTGGAGGGATGGCTAAGGGCAGCCTAGGGGGTGTCAAGGACCTGCCTAGGGTCACCATGTTTTTCTATATCTAGCTCTGGAGCCGACTCCGTGTCGTCTTGCACCGAATATTCCATATCATTTGTGAAAATGGTAAGCAGGACTGGGGACTTGGGTAATGGGAGAACAGAAGCAATCTAGCTTTTACACACACTCTCTCCCTCCCTCTCTCTCTGTCTCTGTCTCTGTCTCCTGGCCTCTTGCTGCTCTTCCCTCTTAGGCACCATAGTGGCCCCCCTGTTTCTCCTCCCTTTTCTGCCTCCCCTCCCCTCCCCTGCCAGTCTCTCCACCAGTTTTACTTCTTCCCTGTCCACAGAAGCCACTAAATTAGCCTCTCCTGAGAAGCAAACCCAGCCTTCTGTCCATCTTCGATGCACCATGGACCCTGTGAAAATGAGCATGACCCCCCCACCCACTCGTCGCCGCCGCCGCCATCGGCCCTCTCCAGCACGACGTGCCCAGCAACCTGTAACTTGGGCCCCGGATAGTGATGAGGAGAAGCCCCCTCTTCAGCACACAGCAATCTGCTCCCACCACTGGGATGGCCCCAAGGACTGGGAAGGCTTCCAACCCCCTCAGGAAGTCTGGGAATCCTGGACTCAGGATACTCTGGAGCCACCATCCCAGACCATCCGCTTCCAGCCAACAGTGGAGGGAAGGCCCCTCAAATCAGAGCTGGGCCTAGAGGCCTATGTATACACAGTGAACCCCCCACCTCCCAGCCCAGAGGCTCTGAACCACAAAAATAATGGAGTGAGGATAGGGACCTGTGCTGAGGCTGAGGAAGCCCAGTCTCAACCTGCCCCATCTACCTTCTTGGGCCCCGCAATTGTCCCTGAAATCTCCCGGCGCTCCTCCTCAGGCCGAATAATGTATGATGCCCGAGATGTGAGAAGGAGGCTGCGAGAACTGACCCAGGAGGTAGAGGCCTTATCCCATTGCTACCCCTTTACTTCTGGATCCAATTCTGCCGAAGGGAAAAAAAAGGACTGGGTGTATCGTTCACTCAAAGGGAGGTAATGGGGGGAAAATAAAATAAAAAAAGAGAGAGTAGTTGGTGTGTGATAGTGTGGAAGAGGCAAGGCCCACAGAGAACCCAGAATCCCTGGTTACTAAGGAAATGTGTGAGTTGGGTGCCTCATCAGCCTCTTGCCCTCACAGGTCTTGTCTTGGACGCTCTCCCGGGTCCTCTAGTTTCAAGGCTCCTTCCTTCCTTCCTTCCTTCCTTCCTTCCTTCCTTCCTTCCTTCCTTCCTTCCTTCCTTCCTTCTTCCCTTCCTCCTTCCCTCCCTCTCTCCCTCCATTCTTCCCTCCCTCCCTTCCTTGCTTTTGTCGGTCATGGGGCTTGAACTCAGGGCCTGGGCACTGTCTCTGAGCTTTTTTTTGCTCAAGGCTAGTGCTCTACCACTTTGAGCCACAGCACCTCTTCTGATTTTTCTGGTGGTTCATTGGATATAAGCATCCCACAGACTTTCTTGCCTGGGCTGGCTTTGAATGGAGATCTTCAGATCCCAGCTTCCTGAGCAGCTAGGATTACAGGTGTGAGCCACTGGCACCCAGCTTGTCTTGTCTTGTCTTTTTCTTTTCTTTGTGCTCTAGGAAGGCCCCAAAATCCAGCACCCCAGGTACTTGTACACTAAAGAGACTCACATTCCTATGGCTCTAGCTAGGTCTGGGGCCTTGCTAGAGATCTGGTCCATGCCAGAGCCCATATTTAGGCTACAGCTCCAAAGAGAGTGAGGTTCTCTTAAACCCTGGTTTCTTTGGACAGAGGTAACTGAGAGGGAGGGTATCTAGGTCCTCAGAATTTCCCAGACATAACCTGAAGCTACGGTACCTTCTAGCAAGCTTGGAGCAAGAAATGAAATACTGGGACATTCTCTCAAGAAATAGCTCACCATAACATCACAGCCCTTTGTCACCTCCTGTCCATGTCACAAATTAGAGGTTGAGGCTCAGAGAGGCCAAGTGACTTGCTCATGATCACATAGACAAGAATCAAGTTCATGGCCTCAGATGCTGCTGGTAGATCCCTATTCCTGCTGGTAGATTTCCATTGCCATGCAACCAGCTTAGCCCACTGGAATATTTCACCTACACAGATTATCATGTGATCTCATCAGAATATTTCACCCACTGGGCCGCAAGGAAACTCAATCCCTGCTCCACTCCTGTCCTACTCCTAGAAGATTGGGCTCTTTTTTTTTTGGCCGATCCTGAGGCTTGAAATCAGGGCTTGTTTAGATGCTGCCCCTGAGCTGCTTTGTGCTCTAGGCTAGTGCTCTACCATTTCAGCAACAGTGCCACTTCCGGCTTTTTCTGGGTAATTTGTTGTAGGTAAGAGTCTCATGGACTTTTCTGACCAGGCTGGCTTTGAATTGCGATTCTCAAATCAGCCTTCTGAGTAGGATTACAGGTGTGAGCCAAGGGTGCCGGGTGGAAGGCTGGTTTCTTATGCACACACATATCTTGGGAACAAGTTGCTATGTGAGTACAACCAAGCTGAAGGAACTGGAACTTATCTTCCATACTACATGGATTTCTGGAATGTGAGCAGACCTGTGAATCCCTACTTCTTTAATTTTGCTGGTCCTGGTGCTTGGATTTAGGGCCTGAGCATTGTCTCTGAGACTCTGTGCTCAAGGCTAGCACTCTACTACTTGAGCCACAATGCCACTTCTGGCTTTTTCTGAGTAGTTGATTGGAGATAAGAATCCCTCTGAGTTTTCTGCCCTGGCTGGTTTCAAACCATGATCCTCAGATCACAAATGCCTGAGTGGCTAGGGTTACAGGAGAGAGCCACTAGCACCTGGCTATGTATTTGGAAGTTGATGGAAAATGTTCACTGGCCTGTCCTTCATATGCTGAGTAGTTTACTTTCTGAATGACTTGTCATCCTCAGGGTACCATTGTGAGACTCCAATGATGAACCTATTTTACATAAAAGACTCCTTTTGTAAACAATTACATGTGTTTTATACTTTGTTAATAACTTCATGTATTTTTTTTTTTTTTGGTCGGTCATGGAGCTTGAACTCTAAGCCTGCGTGCTGTCCCTGAGATCTTCAGCTCAAGGCTAGCATTCTGCCACTTGAGCCATAGCACCACTTCTGGTTTGCTGGTGGTTAATTGGAGATAAGAGTCTCATGGACTTTCCTGCCTGGGTTGGCTTTGAACCACGATCCTCAGATCTCTGCCTCCTGAATAGCTAGGATTACTGGTGTGAGCCACTGGTGCCTGGCCTGTTTTTTGTTTTTGAGACATGGTCTTGAACTAGACTGGTCTTGAACTCACTGAGTAACCCAAACTGGCCTAGATCTTGAGTTCCTCCTGGCTTTGTCTTCCTAGTGCTAGGATTATAGGCCTGAATTACGACTATACACTGGTTTCCTTACAGCTACCAGTTTTTCAACTTGGAATAAGGGTGGGTCAATGGGAAGAGAGAAACTGTAGATGGGGCTGGTCATTGATAGGTACAACAACCTAAGCAAGGAGGAATTCTGTCTCTGAAGCAACCAGTGGACTCAGGGACCAACAACACTTAGGGCTGAAACCCCTGGCCAGGAAAGGCTGGGCAGGGATATGTGCTAAAGAAAATGGTCAGGAGAGAGTAAGAATTGGCACACACAGGTGACCCCAGAAGAGAGTTTTTATTGAGACAAAGTCTCTAGGCTAGCTTAGAACTTGCCACCATGCCTCAGCTTCACAAGTGCTTAAAGTCGTGTGCCACCCAGCCAGGCCCCCAAAGCATTGCTGTTATGCATCTATCAGTTTCTCTAGTTGCTGGTCCCAAAGTAGGCAAACCTGAAAAGAGGAGTGAAATGGAGGAAACCCTTTATGGATGATTGTGTGAAGATTGTTTCGACTATAGCTACCATATTTTCTGATCAGGAACAAACCAGATGTGGGTTCCAAAGAAAGAGACAACTCTGGAATATCTGGGGGCTGGCTGTCATCAAGTAGAAGCCAATGAAAAAGATGGACCATGTAAAGGGACAGCAGAGTGACTAAAAGAGATACCACCTCTTCATTATGACTCTCCCCAACTTGCCTCATTATGACCTGGCTCCCTCCCAGGCTGGTAGGTATCTCCAGGTACTGGCATGAGTACAGTGTGGGTTGGGACCTGGTGGGGGGGGGTGGCCCAAGTGGCCCTAGGACCCCCCCACCATGGAAAACCAGCTATGGTATGATGCCCTGGGGTGCTGCAACCAATACCAAGAAAGCCCACAGGATACTGAGGACATCCTATTCCTGTTGCTAGGCCTCATCATTCTTGTGAACATAAGTGTCAATGTGGCAGCTATGGTCAGTGATGGTTGTGGACCATCCCAAGGGGTGAAAAGTGCTGAAGAGGGGAACAAGCCATAGCTTGTACCTCTACCTGCAGGAGTGGGATTGCCTGGGTCAGGGTGGGGGTAGAGAGCCTGACCTCTAGTCCCCTTTCTCCCACTACCCCCAGATATGGCATGGACTCCAGAATGCTTTAGACAAGATTTTCTATCGGATAAATCTCAAGCGTAAGTATTGCAGGTAGAGGTGTAACTACAACAGCCCTAGAAAATCCTTCCCTGGGGATGGGGTGGGGGAGAATAATGAAAGGAGTGACATTGATCAAGATGCATTATATTCATAAACTGCTTTGTTGGGCAGCAACTACTTAAAGATAATATATGATATATAGGAATCATATATATAATATATATGAATCATATATAGATAGATAGATATGAAACAGAGCTGAGCGCCGATGGCTTATGCCTGTAATCCTAGCTACTCAGGAGGCTGAGATCCCAGGATCACACTTCAAAGCCAGCTTGGGCAGAAAAATCCCTGAGATACTCTTATCTCCAATTAACCAGTCAAAAAAAACAAAACAAAACAACCACAAGTGGAGCTGTGGCTCAAAGTGGTAGAGTGCTAGCCTTGAGCAAAACTGCCCAGGAACAGTGCTCAGGCCCTGGGTGACCCCACCCCCACCTCAAAAAAGAAAAAGAAAAAGGAAGGAAGGAGGAAAGAGAAAGAAAGAGGGGGGGGAGAGAGAGAGGAAGGAGGGAAAGAAGGAAGGAAGGAAGGAAAGAAAAAGAAAGAAAGAAGAAAGAAAAGAAAGAACGAAGAGAGAAAACCCTGCCCCAATTCTGGCAATTGCCCTGGTCTTGTGAACTCTTGTCTCCCTCAGGTGAAGTCCAGGCTAGTAAAAGTCCTCCCAAAGATCCCCCAGCCACGAACAAGGACATTCACATTCGCTGCATTCTGGACCCTGTTCAGGTAAAGATGGCCCAACCCACACGCTGTTCCTCTTCTTCCTATCACCATCTCCGCCATCACTGCAGCCAGCACCGCCGCCGCCGCCGCCGCCGCCACCGCCGCCGCAGTCCCCACCACCGCTGCAGACACCAGCCTAAGCCCAAGAACACCAGAAAATTCTTCCGTAACTGCCCAGTCTCTTGTACCAAACCTCAGAGCCTCTGCAAGATGCCAGTGCCCTTTTATGACATGGAGGACCGAGACTCCTGCTCAGAAGTAGAAGACCCATGCTACTCACTTCCCAAGTACCCACAGAGGGCCTGTGGTAGATTCCATAAGCAAATGGCTCTGCCCTCCAAAGTGGGGCTGTGGGGCCGCCAGGGTGGGATCCTGGCCAGCCTGCCACCCCCCTCTCTCTACCTGTCCCCAGAGCTGCGTCGCTTGCCCAAGCGCGTGGAGGCCAAATCAGAGCTGAGGCTTCAGTCCTTTGGACCCAATTATTCACAGTCGCGACTCTGGGGCAATGTGGAGACAGAACAGTGGGCCTCATCCCCACAGTCTCCCCGCCGGCTTCCTCCTAACCCTACCTGGACCCCTGTAGGGCACAGTCCTTACTCTTCAAGGGGCCAGATACTGTATGATGCGTGGGAACAGCGCCGGCATGGCGTGGAAGGCTCTGATCCCTCACCTGCCTTTGTGTCCCGAAACTCTCGGCTGGAGAGCCAGGGCTGCCGGGATTCCATCCCTCATCAATCCCATCATCGAAGCCTCCCT